GAACAAGATATATGCTTTTATACACAATGCTGTCAAATATAGCAATAAACTCGCTCAATTTTACCCATGATAAATAGTCAAATTCAATCAATTCTCAGGAAATGGCAACAATCATCCATCCACAGCCGTAATTTGCAGGCACCGAGCAAACAACCAGATTAACAGATTATGATACCGGCTTTCACAACGATCCTAAATTTGTATGCTTTTCACCTGGTATCCAATTACTATTTTGTAAATTATCATAGCTTTGGGTTTGGCATCCATAGGAATGTTTGTCAGAAAGAAGTAGTGGGTAAAGTTCAAAGGAAGTTAGTTTGTGGCTCTTACCTCTTTTTGCCCCTCTTCTTTTTTGCATGTTGTATCTCCATTTCACCTTCTTTTTCCTTTTCTCACCAATCAGAATGGTGGTCTCTCAACAGCTTTTTAACGTTTTTCGCTACAATATAATTATCTCCTAAAGTTTTCATTGAACAATTTTTTGCCCTTCAGAGATTTTAGCGACTTATACCTTGAACCCTGAGGTCCGATTTTTAAATGGTCAAATTACCTCCTGGCTTTGGCGGGGTTTCCCTGTTTTCCAATGCGGACTTTAAAATGATGGTGTTGAGTTAACTCTCCAACAATAACAATTTACAATATTAACGATTTTACGTGACAGACTCCAGAAAAAATTCCATATTTTCATGAGAGCAAAAATCCTGGAATAAAGGAAAGAAAACTGAATTGAATGGATGCTGCGTGAGGCTGATGGCATCATTAGGGTGGCAAAATTCGTCGATAACTTTGGTTATGGTGAATCTACACTAGAACTTGACAAATTATCCTGAAAAACTAGTTTTATTTTAAATTCTTGACAAAGAAACAGATCCACTGCATCTAGAGACTCCACAAAACCATAGTTTCTTCCTAAAATTTATTTCGAAACACCTGGAATGAAGTTAAAAGCATCTGAAGCATTTTAAATGTACTACCGAATTATTGTAATCGCGATTGGTCAATTTTGAACACGGATAAGTTTTTGCGTCCGTATACAGTTCTATCATAGTATTACAGTTGTAGGAGATTCGTAGGGAATAACCATCTAAAATACGCTTGTACGCATAATAGATTCCTATTTTGTCAAAAACATGTCATGAAACCAGTATCTAGGGAAAACCCATCGACATACCTCGAACCTTGATGTTCGTTCACTTCTGCCATAGATTCACCTTAATATCCGCGCTTTTCTGGAGATTTGTCGAAGTTTTGCTGATGTAAGCAAATTATTCCCCCTCTCTTAACATCCAGTTGACATGGTGACTTAACACGGGGGCACTGCGCGCGACTATCCTCAAGAAGGTGGTTATTATGTTGAGAAAACAAGTGTTTAATGGAGTAGGTAGCGGGGCTATTTTGGAGTTGGCCTGATCCAGAGTGCTCAGAGCCGGAGTGGTTTCTCAAAAGGAGCCACTCCTGACAGGAGTCATTCACACAGGAAGGGCGATTGAAAGCACTCACTCAGGAGTCAAACAGTCGACAAGTGCATTCGAAAGCACTCGCATTTTTCAGGAGTCATTCACTCGTCTAGTTGTTAATTGTTGCCGCAAGGTAATTAACTTTCGAGACGCACTTCCCAACAGTGTATCAGTTTGCTCTTGCAAAATTATTAGCGAAACTCATTTAAAGTACATGTAAACATCGACCGCCGGGTAACTTCTTTCTTTCACGTAATTTATGATAGTATATCGGTAGTTTTTCTTCTCTCAGTTTTGAGTGTAATACTATTTGTCTTAGTCAATCCTTGTTTCCAGGAGCATTCCTAGTTTGTTGTGTTTGGCTATAGTAAAACAATGCTTGCCCTTGATAATCCTATCTTTCAAAAACCTTAGCGCTGTGCAAAACTTCTCTTCAAGAAGTAACTTAAAGTACTTTTAATTATAATTATTAATATTTTTGGTGTGGAAGTTAAAGACAATTCTGCCTTCAATGTTTGAGGTAGGCCAAACAACATTTTTTGTGTATAAATAATTTCCTATGACATGAGTCATACTTTACCTCGTGTGCAAATCTTACCTTGCAGGCAACGATGTCTTCAAACCTGATAATTTTTGTGTAAACCTTATATTTCTTCATACAAGTCATAATTTATAATAAATTAATTTACAAAAAATAAATAACTCCTAAATTTCTATGAGGAAGTAGCGCTATTCTGGCAAACATTCAGACAACATTGCCATGATAAGGGAAAATGTCAAATGAATCTCCAGACATTGCCGCTTCAAGAAAGAGGGAATTTTCTGAGATACTTGGGAATACTCTCCCTCTAATTTTTTAGAGCTTCATTAGCAATTTAAACTCTATCTTTGAGAGTTTCGCAAGGTAAAGTATGCATTCCTTCTCTAAAAAATGAAGCCTTTATCCGAGGAGATTCAGCAAAGTTCAAATACTCATACAGCATTCATCCTTAGCATAACAGACTACAAGAATGGAGAAAAAGTGGGTGGCGGCAAGTTCAGATTTGTTTACAAAGTAATGTAAGTGGGCACAATACAGCGTCAATATTCCTGAGGATCCGAAATCAAAAGTATTGAAATGAATCGCAACGTCCGTTCTTTGGCGTACTTCAGTACAAATTAGAATTGTTAACACTAGTTGAATTATAAAGTTGTTTCCACCAATTACACCACTTTCGAGAAAATCGATAAAAAAAAAAAAAAAATTATCTGAGCTCACCTACGTCATTCATGAAATCCAAGTAGTCCGCAATCCAACCACCCCTTTCATCTCTCTTTGGAAAACAAGAGCTGATTCGGCACCAGAGACAAGATACCCTCCACTGCACTATGGTCTGGGAGCGCCAAATCGTGGCCAAAAATCCGATTTTTGAAAGTGCGGAAATCTGGCAACCTAGCATGCAGCCCTTATCTACATCCCTTGGCAAGTGTGAAATGACCGATCGAATTTTTTTTAAGTGTTTTTAAGATCGGATATATGGTGGCCAACTTCACAGACTTAGAGGTAAATGAAGAAATGTGAGAATTCGAGGTGAACGTCATCACATATTACCTTGTGCTGTTTTGTTAGAAGTCGGCATAGATCCTCGATCAAATATGGAACAGAAAGCTCAAAGGGAGCACTTTTTGATGGTTTAATCGTTTTTAGTATTAAGATTAATTTTATGACCACCACGAGACTTCAAAGTTTTGTCCTAATTTAGGCAAAAAATGACCTTCACCTTAACTTTTAGTTATTAGTAACAAGAGGTAACACGTTCTTATCGGTGCCAGAATGTAGCTCATATATTCCTCTAACAGGGAATAATAGGTTTTTTTGCGTATTTTTGCGTCTGAGGCCTTTTTCGGTCATTTCAGTGCAGCGGTTTTGTGATTTTGTGAGTAATCCGATTCCGCTGTGCAACAAGATAAGAGAGATAAGGCAAGGTCAGCGTTTGACAAAGGGTGGATCTTATGTAATTTTGAATGCTGAATCCGAAAATGATGCCCATTTTCTTCCAGCAGTTGCCAGTTTTCTGGAAAATGAAGTTTTTTTGCGGGAAAACGCATTTTTGAGCGAAATGATATTTTCTCCACAGAAGTGATGATGACTGGATAAAACGGAGGTCATTTTTTCATTCTTGAGATTTCATATGCATACACATTTACCAACTCGCCTTCCTGTGATGTAATGGTTGTAGTGCTAGCCCTATGATCAGAAGATCCCGAGTTTGACTTCCACCCAGGCAACTCGAGCTTGATGATCGCAAGCCATATTACTGGGAGCTTATTGTTGGGAAGGGACTGATGGGGAAAGGAATTCAAGCACGGATATTAGACCTTAATAGCAATTTTAGTTCCGTTTTCTTGTATTTATTTTTTGAAATGGTTCAAGTTTATCATTCCACCTAAAACATTTATAATAACATTTGCAACCATAAAAATCAGCGCAGAATGGTTGAACTGCTTCCAAGAAATATAAGAATGTCAAGGCTATTAATTTTTAAGTGTTCTAAAATATGTCCCGAAACTTTTCGTAGCAGGGTCTGGCGATCAAAGAGTTAGGCAATTTAAAAAAAAAACCGCCAGAAATGAACATTTTTGGAAGAAAATTTTTGTTTAGGGAGGGGACAACACTCTATACCTAGGCTTAATACCCCCCCCCCATAATATATATCATGCTCTAGTCAGGACCAATAGACTAAAAAACATAATGCTAACTTTATTTAATTACGATAATGTCTTATCTTTTCCAGGGTAAAATACTCATTTTTAAGCCTTTTGCTCTGGTAAACGCTTCATTTTTGCAAAACTGAGTTAGCAAAGTGTAGTCTGGCAACCTTCAAAACACTAAACTGTCATTTAAAATGGCATCCGAATCATAGTTTGAATTTTTTTCTAGTTTTTTTGTTTTTAGGGTCCGCCGCCATCTTGGATTTGAGAATTTTGTAAAAGTAAGGTCAAATTTGAATTCAGCGACCCTAAAAACATAAGCACACCAAATTTCATGATAATCTGACCATTTCCTGATTTATGGCCACAATTCGGCGCCCCCAGACCATAGTGCACTGGCCTCTTGGCGACAGGTGGAAGCTTTTACTTTCGGGGACTCAAAAATTCTTATGGGCAATTGGACGTATTTCTGTCAAACGGAACTATGAGCATTATGACGTGAGCCCTGTTATGCATATATTCTCATGGGTCTCAGGGCTCATGTCTCAATGCGCACAGTTCTGTTTGACAGAACTCCGTTCAATTATAAGGGAGCAACAGTCACCACTCTTTTAAAAAGAGTCTTATTTCGGCTGTTGACCTACCTACATGGTGGATGATGAGCTTCGCATGACGTCATGAGCCAAACAAGTTCCCCGAACTTCGGCTTGTTCGCAAAACGAAACTGCCAACACGCTCTTCACAATCAACCATTTACGTAGGTCAACAATAGAATGATGAAGTCCCGAAAGTAAAAGCTTCCGCCATTGCCAAGATACTAGTGGAGAGTCTCTTGTCCCTGTTCGGCACTCATCATGTTCCGCGCAACGTCGCTCCACCGGGCAACCTGACTCTAAACGCAACGTAAGGTTTCTGGCGGCGATCTTTGCCCAGCTCTCCAAACCCTTGATAGATGGACGGAAGCAAGTGAAACTGAGTGACGGTGAAGTACAAGTAGCCATCAGCCGCTATGATGAGCCTGCTGATGAAGTTGATCCTGGGGTCGTGGACGAAGTTCCTCGTGTAGCCGGTCGTGACGTTGTAGACCTCGATGCCGTCGTTCACGGAGTTGCCCTGGTAGACGTTGCCCTGCGAGTCGGCCGTGATGACGGCCGAGACGCCCTGCTGGCCGAGATTTCGCACCGCGGACACGATCTCCGAAGGGGGGGTGTTGTTGTTGCGCAGGAGCTGCGTCGGCACGCAGTATAGGAACCGTATCCCGCCCCCGGAGTAGTAGAGCGTCTCCATATCCGGAGACAGAGTCACCCCGCTGACCCCGTTCTTGATGTTGCCGTAACCGTAGATCTGCCCGGATGGGCTGTATAGCACCTGAGGATAAAAAATTAGACGTAAATAATGTACGTATAAGTCGTTTATACGGCGCTACGACGCTCTGCGACGCCCACCCGACACAGGAATCTGTTATGGTAGAGATCCTCCATTTTTCTCAAAATTGATAATTGAAATTTTGCTGAGCGAATTCTCCATCTTAACAGCGCTCATCTTCTTCGGGGAACTTTAAAATGCGCCTACATAGGAAACAGCTGAGCGCCTCTCTAATGCGAATGTATTAAAGCTATCACCAAGCTTTGGGGGACGTCTGGTGAAAGGGTGGGGACAGGGGGTTTTAGAGGAAATGGGGGAGTTCCAACTTCCTGAAGGGCTCTGGGAGGATAGGGGGCTTTGGCGGCTGGGAGTCGCAGAGCGGCAAAGAGCTCTGTAAAAGCCGTCTCTGTGTATGTATTAATGTTTTCCCGCTTGTTTTGTATGCGTGTTCAATACTCTCCAATACTTTGTTTTGAAATATAACACAATTTGTAAGAAAGTACCTGGTAGAGGGGCGCGCCGTAGATGAAAGGGACGAAACCGGGTTCAATCATGACCGAGACATCATTCACGAGAACTCGGTAGGAGGTTCCGTCGAAGAGATTGAGCACGACGATAGCGTTCTGCTGCTCCGGGCTGAGGTCAGCGATGTACGCGAACTGGTTCACGAGGTCGAAGGTCACGTCGGAGAAGAACGAGACCGGAAGCGCAACGTTGGTCGGGAAAGTGTAGGTGCGAATGGTGCTGTTGGTGTTCAGATCCACGGAGATGAGCTTCGTGCCGCCGGGAGAGGACCCGAGTATGAGTCCGCCGTACCTGAGGGAAAGAGGAAATGGAAGCATAACGGGATATCTGCACGCGGAGAAAAAAACTTCGTGCGTGAGACCCAAAGTTAAGGTCATATGGATCTCTGAAGTTTTCGGATTGAGCATCCGAGCAATCCGGATTGTATTTTGCAAAAAGGAACCACTAGCATTACAATGTTGCTAAGATTGTGCAACTTCTTTTGTCTTGGAGAAAAAACCCGATTATCCAATAATAGTTTCTATTTTACTCGCTAAAAACTGTGAATTTAAGACAAAAATTACCATCTAAATTTCATAGTTTTTCACGATTTCCGCAATTTTATTGCAAAAGCTGAAGTTGCACAATCTTAGCATCATTGCAATGCTAGTGGTTCCTTTTTGCAAAATGCAATCCACTTAAGGTCCATCTGCTGAGGTTTGGATCACACATCTGAAACTGCAGTTCTTACATCGGAAGTACTTCGGTTTTCACATCCGAAAAACTTCGGTTCTCACATCTGAAGTACTTCAGATGTAAGAACTGAAGTTTCAGATGAAAGAACTGAAGTTTCAGATGTGTGATCCGAACCTCGACAGCTAGACCTAAAGTGTTCAGATGCTCAATCTGAAAACTTCAGGGATCCATATGACCTAAACTTCGGGTCCCACGCACGAGGTTTCTTTTCTCCGTGTGTTAGAGATAGGTTTGAATCCTGCCAAAAAGACTTTGGGCTCCTTCGAGGAACAGAGTGCGAGGTATCCACTGTTCACATTCGACCAACGAGTCAGTTGCGCCGGTCACAGAATCGTGTTTTGGTGCTCGATTCTCGCAGATGAGCTAAAGATGATAAGATCCGTCCAAACAGCAACTTTCTACTTTCGGTATTAACCCAGATATCGTGCTTTGAAAAATTCGGTTTGTGACGATATCCTCCGCGGTGGTGAAACCCTCGGTTTCTTCCATCCTTCATCAATCAATGAGACACGCATTTGCACTGGATTCATCTGGGACTCGGATGAAAGCAAGGTAGTCGCTACCGCGGAAGAAGACGTTATAAACCGAATTTTTCAAAGCGCGATATCTTGGTTACCATAGAACGTAAAAAGTTGCCGTCGAGACAGATCTTGAGAAGTTCAGTTGATTTACAAGAATCAAGCATCAAAACACGATTCTGTGACCAGCGCAACTGACCCACTGCACCGCGAAAAATAAAAATAATTTAACGCACGTACATGAACGTGAAGGAAGTCAAAGCGCCTTTAATACTTTGTGTATGCAACCAGGACAAGCGTGGAGCATGAATAGTGGTATCGAGAAATCTAAGGTAATTTGACAGGACGCAGAGCGGCTCCTTCAAGTAATGTCGCACACACATACACGAAAGCGTGTGTGAAGCCAGTGCGCCTTCAATATTTTACTATGCAGTGTGGACGATGGTAGAGCACGAATAGTTGTATCCTGGGCTTTGGCAATTTAGCACAGCGTCGCGCCACTCATATGAGAGGGCGTTGAAATAGCCAGTGCGCCTTCAATATTTTGCTATGCAACACGGACAATCGTTGAGCACGAATAGTCGCATGCAGACGCCTTGACGTTGACCTATCGCTGGATCATTTGGACTGCATTTTGCAATTTGGAACTATAAATTCTGTCTCTTCTGGAAAAATACTCATCTGCATAGGGAAACGAATGGCACATACGTTGTTTTTAAACCGGGCTGGAATTTATAGTTCCAAATTGCAAAATATAGTCCATTTCAAGGTGTTTCCATCGGGTCAATTTTGCTGACATGCAGCCGGGATTTAGGTTTCGTCAGTGAAACATTTTGCGAAAAATACGATAAGGCCGCTTGTTTTCTCTCTAACTAACCTTTCATCACCAAAAAAGATTGCTGAATCGAAGCCTCAATGGAGGAGCAACTGCTCCGTAAGAATTATGTAGGAAGGATATTATTGTAGGATCCACTATTAGTTTTTTGTCGAATAAAGGTTTCTTCATATGGCTACTTTGACTTTTATTGATTTTAATTTTATGTAAATGGCACATTCGATTTCATTGATTCTTAAGAGAACTGATAAGCACTAATTACTCTTTGATCAATTAATTTTTTACTATTTCAACGTATTTAACCCATTTAGAGAGAAATTTTTCGAAGGAATCTTATGTTGTGGTGCTTTAATTGAACTACTTTTTGCAATTCGGAACTATAATATCAGGCTCAGTCTGGGAACAACGTATGTACCATTAGTTTCCCTACGTACACAAGTTATTTTACGGATGAGCCAGAAATTGTACGATTCTCAATTGCAAATGAATGTCTGCCTAGTGCCTAGTGGTCCGTTCATTAGGTTCGCATAGTTTTTCATTTTGTTGAGTATGCAATGTGATATTTAGAAACCCTTATTTTGCTGGGAGGGAATGATTATCGGCAGCAAAACCAATTTGACTTCCTTCTGCCAAACGAAACCCGAGATAGGTGGGAAAGAAGGGGTGTGCTCTTTAGTGGAGGGCTGTAAGAATGAATGGGAATTATAAAGCGCCACTGACGTCAGCGGCAAGGAATTTGCCTCCGCAGCTCCGCGTGGTCCTCTTTAACTCATGAGCCCTGTCTAGAACGCTCTTGCCTCATGCCCATGGCTCATGAGCGCCGCACTCAGTTGACACCTAGTTTCATTTATTTGCCAGAATGTAAAATCCCGGTTTTCTATTTCTCTGGTTTTTACAACTCCCGGTTTTCTGGGAATAATCACGCCCACTTTAACATTGTTTCTCATTCACCTCTCTAGAACACACGTCATCTTTCCCTATAGTTCCGGTTGGCAGAAATACGTCCAATTTGTGATAGCCAATTTTTTTTTTGATTGACAATTTAACGACAAAAATTATTATTACATGCACCGCCCCGTGTCGAGAATCCAAAGTGTATCTTCGCTGTCTATGACGACAGTCTGGACGCTGAGGAAGTATTCCGTGTAACCGAAAGTGACCGGGAGGATCCCGCTGGTATCGACGGCGCCACCGGGGGGGCTGTTCATCTCCTCGTTGGGGTAGGGGGTGTCCGTCTCGAGGCCGGTGAGCTCGACGACCGCGACGACGCTGTTGTTGCCGAGGTTGGTGTTGTCCCCGTCGAACCCGGCCGGGTAGCAGGAGAACATCCGTCCTGAGGAGGACACGGCGATGCCGCTCGGCCACTGTCCGAAGTAGAGGTGGACGATCTCCAGTTCGTCGGAGATGCTCAAAGGATCCTGTACGACCGGGTTTGAGTTGTTCGTGCATGCCACGAGGGCAGGCAGCACGCCGAGAAAAAGTGTGAGGATTGTTGGACCCATCTTCGTCGGTTTCTGGAAACAAAACAAAAAGAGGTTGTTCCACAGCATAGTAGCATAGGCAGAATGGAGAATTCGCAGGTGTTCAAAATTTTGTGACTCTCAAACTTCAGCACGAGGGCAACCTTGGATTATAAATTGAACAATTTTAGGAGGAAATATGACAAAATAATCTAATCTGCTGAAGTGCATGTGTTTAAACGGAAAATGCCGCCAGCAGGCCGATTATTGAAATTGATGGACAAATCTATAGACAAAGAAGAAAAAAAAGACATGGAGGGATCCTATTGGTGGAAGCAGATGGTGGCAATGGACAAGGAAGGAGGGTAAAGGGACTAAGTAACGGCAACCCTCGAGGGACCCGATAGTTAGTCCATCATTTTATCCCTTAGTCTATAGGAACCACCAATTTCAACCAATAGGATCGCTCCATAGTCCCCATGTCTTCTTTGTCTATAGATTTGTCTATCAATTTCAATAATCGGCCTGCTGATGGGTTTGAGATACACATCATCAGGGTGAAGGCGAGGAAGGTGAAACATCAAATCAGATGATAAAAACATATATACCCCACATGAAATAGATTGTATGTAAAATTTGCATCATTCAACACGAAAAACATCCTCAAAGTCGAACAAATGACACCATGAGAGTATACATATATTAACTTTTGGGGACAAGGTATATTTGAAAAGATGCATATCGACGGTGTAAGTCGGCAATCACATAACTCGGTTTGCGACGTCGCAGACTTCCTTTCATACTTTTTTTTAAACGGAAAACTACTCAACGGCAATTCTTTAAATCTGCCGTGATTTTTCTTCTCTGTGCGAAGAAAATTTTGCATTAACTTCAAGGAATGGTGTTAATTTGTTCTCCTTTAATTTAAAAAATAGAATAGAGGCGGAGATTTTCAGGCACCGCATACGAGATATGCGATTGCGGTCTTACGCTGTCGATATGTAACATTCAGTGGACTAAATTTACTATGCGAATCCTTTTTCTTTCCCAAAAGTTTGTTCCGTTTTGTTAAAAGTAGCTCGGGATGAGCCAGGAATGGCTAAATATCAAGGCATTAAGTATACTTTTTCTCAGTTTTGGTCTGCTTAACTCAAAATATACTAAATAACTAACTAACTAACTAACTAACTAACTAACTAACTAACTAACTAAAGGACGACAGTGAATAAAGTATCAAAGAATATGCTGTTTACGTACCGTTTGAACCGCTGCAAACGTCCACGCTCTCGACTTCCGTTCGAGCGGCTGTATCCAAATTTTAAAAAAAAACACTAAACCTCCTCGAAAGTTAGGCGGAAAATCTGATCTCTTCCTCGTTGTTGTTCTACGTGCCCTATTTTTTCCCGACGACCTTATATTTGGAACGCATGTTAAGTAATAGCTGTGTGTAAGTGCAGTTTTCTCAATCTGTGTTTATTTTCTGACACAATGGCTGTCATTGAGCTTTAGTCTTTATTGGATATTAGTTTTTGGTCGTTGCAGTTTTGGAAGAAAAGAAAACTGTAGACTTACGGGTCTCCCGTTCGTATTTTGCTCTTTTTACCCGTATTTCCTGTCTTTTGTTCTATGTCAGTTAATCTCTATTTCAATCTTAGCTTTATGAACCAGCTTTGAATATTAGTTCTAAGGGTGTCCTTGAAAAATATACTTAGGTTTCGCACGTTAACATGAAGCTGTATTATGTCTTTCCACCGTCTTAGCGCCAAATTTTTTAAATACCTAAAAACCCATGCAGCGTATTAACCTAATGAAAGAATATTCATGAATAAATGAGATTAAATATGTATGCAAGAAGCTTTAGGTGTTGTCACTAGATAAAGAGTAGTTTTTAATGTTTCTCAGAAATATAGATTCTTAAGTGAAATTCGTTGAAACTATGTGGATCCTTAAAATTTTAGTCGATTTAGTCGAGTTGTAGTCGATTTTGGAAGAGTTAAAGAGGGACAAGAACTATCCGTAACTTTTGGATGGAGTCATTCATTTTCAGCTAATCCGTAGTTTTCAACAAGTCGTTTAAAATACGATTTTATAACAAAGTCCGAATTAAAATTTATTGAGACCGCGGGAGACTGTCCATGGGTTGACGACGAGGGATCAGAAACCACAAAAGAAACATATTTGGATATAACTATTTCATCCTCGTTTATTGAATAAAGAAAACTTTTGTGAGAAAAAGTTTTTCCAAAGACAACTTCATGTTATGTTAATTTGCTCAAATTGTAGCTATTTTTAGAGGGCACAAGAAAAAAAAAACACGTAGCATTCCTTTAAAAAAGATGTAATTTTCCTCGTAAGCTTGGCACCTCAAAAAGACTTTGTCTCAGGCTTGAAAAGCACTTTCCCTCATTTTCATGGAACAAAAGCATTCAAAAAGTAAATCATCCTACCTGAACCATTCATAGAAGCGCCTTTCAAGTGCCCAGAAAAAGCTCACTTTAAAGCTCTTTCGGGGAACAAAAAGTAGAAAACCGCCTTTTACAAATCTTCAACCACTAATGCCACGTTACCTTGAAAACCCCCCGAAAAATTTCAACACTCTGATAATCTTACCACTTGGAAATAAAATCTGGCAATGCTTCGGGAAAATAGAAGAACACTCGGTGGGAAAATAATGAAAAAGCTAACGATCATAAATGAGGCTCGCGCTCTGTAGCTTCGTAATTATGATGCTCTTTAATTAAGAGCTCTCGCTTTGGGTACCTTTCATGCAGTTTACCGGCGGGATTTTTCATCGGTAAATGAATAGTATTGACTGCTAGTGTTTGCATATCGATTGTCATCATATTTAGCAATATTAAATGACACACACAGTTAAGCACATTCTTAAGTGAGTTGATTTTTGGAAGAGCGCAGGTCGTGAAATGATCTTAATGAATATCCTCAATAGAAATCAGTATCTACGTTTCATCACAGAACCTCGTCTTATTGGTTGAAACCTCCCAAAAAAAAAACAAAAAAAAAAAGTAAGCTTATGTATTCTACATACAGTAGACTCTGGATTATCTGGCTTCGTATTATCCGGACTCTGGATTATCCGGATCGATTTTGCAACCATGTAACTACGTACGAATTCCGATAAGTGAGCGGATCCGCGAAGAAGCGGTCGCAAGGCTTATTGGCGCCTGCAAGCCTGGAGGAATACTTCACGCATTGCGCCAAACAGTGAGGTAGGCGAGGAACGCATTAGCGCCTACTAGATTGCGTAAATACTTCTCGCATTACGCCAAACGCAGTGCAGTCGGTTAGTTAGCCTAAAACGCACATTAGCGGCTACAAGACTGTATGAATACTTCACGCATTGCGCGCTTTAATCGTTGTATTGTAATTTATCGTTGTCGGCTACTATTCACAATCACCATTGAGTCGTTCAATTTGGCGTTAACCTTTTAAATTCGTGTTGGTATGTACATGATGTACACATAATAAAAATACTGTGGTGTTGGTTGGTGGTGTTTGTGTTTACTATTACTATCCAGATTTTTTTTTATCCGGGTCGGGCCCGGCACCAATTAATCCGGATAATCCAGAGTCTACTGTATACTGCAGAATACGGCAAAGTTCCTAGCTCATTTTCGCCGAAATTGTCAGTTAAATTGTATCGTTCTTTAGCCATCGATTGCTTACTCAGTAAGCCTTACTGGGAGTAGTCTTTATGGCAATTCATTTTACTTTCTTTTGCGATAAAACACTGATTAATGCCCGAATGTCTTTTTTATCATTTTGAAGATTTTCCTTTCATGAACTGAGCTTTTTTCAAGCTTTCCGGTTGTGCAATATTACTTTTCATATATTTGAAAGCGAAATTTAAAAACCTCTTTGTAAAAGTTGAAAGAGACTTCCATAAAAAAAAGAACCACCGATATACGTGAACAACGTTGCCGAGCAGTATGAAAATTGGCTCTATATTCCGATACTAGACGTCCAAATATTAGTTTTTTCTATCCAAAGCGGCAACGATGCAAGTGAACAATGGCGAGCACCCTCATGCAGTCACTCGCTCGCTGAGAGAGGTAGAAGGCCGTTACGTGCGGTCTGTTGTAACGGGAAAGCTCGAAAAAAGTTCCGAGGCATCATTAATATTCATTTTCGGCGCAATATTTAAACTTTCGCCGTAGCGATCGTTATGTGCCCGCCCGAGGGCCTGTTAGACGAGGTGATTATCGTTAGGGTCTCCAATCGTAGCGGATTCTTTTTCGCCGAGTGCTTTTCTCGAAGCTCGTAAGAATTTATGGTCTCGACGTCTAAGCTCAAAACTCGCGTGCTTAATTTGCAACGTTTCAAAATTTTCTTACTTTATTCTATCGATGAAGAATAAATCAACACAATAGGTATGGTCTGAAATTCAGTGGAGGACTGGCACACAATGGGACAAGTCAATTGGAAAAGTCGGACAAAATGTGGAAACTTTTAAAGCTTTGAACTCCGTTAAAACAAAACGTTGAAGTTTTAAATGTGACTCCATTGGTTTTCTCTGAAAATTTACTTGTATACGCACCCCTGAAAATCGAAACTTTGACGAAGTAAAGATCGAAATTTGTAGTTACATTAGAAAAATGCATGTCCGACTTCTCCTTTCAACTCGATCCCCTGTGTGGAACCAAAAAAGTGACCGGGAATACCAACCGATCGGTACTTATATCGGCCCATTCCAGTTGTTTTTTCGCCGTGTGGAAGAGACAGCCCGATCCGAAATCACCTTTAATATCCATATAAATATGTAGTTGGCCAGCTCAACCACGAACAGTTGAGCCATACTGCTTTTTCCCAAATACCATCAAGTGGATCGGACTCAAATAACAAAGTTGCAATTTTCTTGTCAAGGACAAAATAGTATACTGCGGCAAATGAAGGATTTTTATGGGTCTTGTGCTAATTTTGAGTTAAAATTTGCCATGTCGTTCTATTTTGCATGTGCCTATAGCCTATACCAAAGTACTCCCCAAGAGAGTTTCTGTTCTCACGAGAAAGTGAAAATCGACAAAATACGGAGGTAT